TGTGATTTTTGACCCAGTTCAATTGACCTATACTCAGATGTCCCAACTGATGGAACTGCATTTCAAATATTTGCTCTCTGACTTTTTGGCAATTACTCTTAACACTGATAAGACACACGACACATGGATTGTTTTCTTACTGCAGTCCAGCTGTTCACCGGGTTTGTAATATAACAAAACATTACAGGTACTACTAAAAATGGACCCTCACAGAGCAGGTACTATCTGGGTGGTGGATCAATCTCAGCACTGTAGTGGTCATAATGTTATGCAGTTGGGACAGCTATGATGAAATCTGCGTTAATGCTTAACCTTGGAAACCAAAGTCAAAGCAACTTCAGCGATAGCAGGACTAAGCTTTTTTGGGGATATTTTCTAAAAAATGGAAAACTGGAAAGCTTACCCCAAATCTAGCAACTCAGCTAAACCGGTGCCAAGTCAGATTTGCGATGCACAGAACAGCCTCCACAGCTGTCACTGCTGCCCCCACAGTGAATGTAAATTCATAACCCATTTTCCATCCGAACCAAGAACATATTTAGGACTGAAGCACAGTATCGGGGAGCGTCTCTGAGCGAGCTAAGCGTTTCCTCTCCATGATAGGTGGGAGCAGGAGGGGGGGTGGAACATACAAGCTTGACACTGTAACAATAGCAGAACCCTTTTCAGTGCTATACAGAACCATTTATGAAAAGATTATTATATTGAACCACATACAGCGTGTTCTCTATCAATCTGAAGAACTATTTCACAATGCAAAGAACACTTTAAGTGTTTATGGTTCTATGTCTTTTCTAAAGAACCCTTGTAGATCCATCTGTTTCAAAAGTGTATATCACACAGGTCAAAACTGATCCTGAAACAGCCTTATGAGGGCCACTGTGAATGTGGTGCACATGCACTGATCAGCCTTAGCAAGGTTTCAGTCTGGAATTCTGACCAGCTGAGCGCTGCGTGGCTGAAATGGAGACCTAATCAGAATTAAACTCGAGCGAGACCTACAGTGACACAGAAATGTAAGATATGTCCCTCACCAGGGTCACCATAACACTGACCAGCTGCCACGGTCTGCAGTTGACGTAGCATGGACTGTGAGGTTGCTGGGGGGGGCGGTGGTCTGTCCCAGGAACAGAGTGCTCATACAGCCAGGGCTTAAATAACAGTTTGGCAAACAATCAAATGTACACGGGTCGTTCTCCGTTTGGAGTGGGAATTCAGGTGGACACATTTTTTAAAAATCAGTTTCATCCCCAAACTAAATAATCTTAATATGTCCATTAACATCTCCTATTATCATATATACAAAAAGGAGAGTTTAATTCCAAACATATGTTACAGACACTGGTGTTGTATGAATATGGTGTAACACCAGTGACGGTTAAAACTGAGGATCCTGTAAACTGGCTGACTCATTGGTTGATCAGGTGACCTCGTGCAACTATTTAAAATCAGAAATAAAAATAATATTTGGTGTTATTTTAACAAAATCTTTATTACCCACCCATTAAAACACATAACACCGGTGACACATAGAAGTTATGTGCTGCCTGACAAACAAAATTATTAATAAATTAACGGAATATAGTGAGCGAGTGTGACTCGCCTTCTCATGCCTTGAGATGCTTCCTCTCTGATGAGCCTCGACCCAAAGAAGCAGTTTATTAGAGCTGAAAATACTGTGATAAAGTGTAATATAAGTCCTGATAACACCGGTGACCAAAATCTCTGTGACACAGGAATTTTCAAATAAAATACATACTTTTTAAAATTTGAATATAATGTTGATGATATGAAAAGTAAACACGAATCTGTTTAAGTTAAACCTCTTAAAAATGTTTTATATTAAAATGGTTTCTCAAATGGTGAAAAGTGGTTTTGTGATGAGCTGTTTTACAGATGCAGAGTGACTATGAAGAGAAAAATCAGGATTATTTAATATTTATTTAAAGTATTATTTAATCTTAGGTCAACTGTGTAAATGTACATACAGACTTCTGGAGCTGTGCCTAATATTTTAAGCTTCTTTTTAGGCCCTGCAGTCTGTGTGACACGGTTTTCCACTCCAAATGGAGAATGACCCATACAGGAGTTTCGGTTGTACCTGGAGGGGTTTTGGGTGTGCTGGGAGGAGTTTTGGTTGTACTGGGAGAGGTTTTGGGGTGTGCTGGGAGGACTTTTGTTGTGCTGGGAGGAGTTTTGGTCATACTGGGAGGAGTTTTTGTTGTACTGGGAGGAGTTTCGGTTGTACTGGGAGGGGTTTTGGGTGTGCTGGGAGGAGTTTTGGTTGTATTAGGAGGGGTTTTGGGTGACATGGTAGGAGTTATGGTTGTACCACGAGGAGTTTCGTTGTGCTGGGAGGAGTTTGGTCATACTGGGAGGAGTTCTTTGCTGTACTGGGAGGAGTTTGGGTTGTACTAGGAGGGATTTTGAGTGTGCTGGGAGGAGTTATGGTTGTACTAGGAGGAGTTTTGTTCTGCTAGGAGGAGTTATGGTTGTACTAGGAGGTGTTTTGGGTGTGCTAGGAGGAGTTTTAGGTGTGCTGGGAGGAGTTTTGGTCATACTGGGAGGTGTTTTGGGTGTACTGGGAGGAGTTTCAGTTGTGCTGGGAGAAGTTTTGGTTGTCGAATTTGAGAGATAGATGTGTTTGCGCTGTTATAATGTGGCTCAGATGCATCTCACTCCACTTCCTGCAGTGGTTTTACTGGTGATGAGATTTGTATCTGTTTTAAACGCATCTTGGGTGAGTTTACACTTGTAAACAGGGTCTAGAATTCTCTACTAAACACTCAAAACTCGACTCACACTCGCACCCCAGAGATCCGAGACTTGACTCTGTCTCACATTAACCGACTTGTGATTATCTTTGCTCCGAATGATCATTATGACTGAGTTTTACAGCCATTTTGATTAAAAAAGGCAGAATTCTCCTTCAATAATCTCAAACAGACATGTTTATGTCCCCTGATTTATTCTGCACTCTATCGCTTTAATATCTGATTTATTCCACAGGTTTCAAAAGTGAAACGGAGAATTTGATCTCCTCCACGATCCAAATTTAGCATGGATCACTGCCAAGCTCTGACCAAAGGCCGGGTCAGGAACTGCTGTACAACTAGTGAAGCCCTGTAAGATGTCAGTGGTCACCAACTTTCCTCCTTAGGATTTACCCATCAGCTGAATTCAGTCACAGACAATTGGTTTTCCTAATGTTCATAACTAATACTGAGCAATACAAATGGATAAATCAGCTACTATAGGGTCCAGAGGTCCAGGCCCACTACCAAGAGCCACTTTTATTTGACCATATACCAAAATTTTTATTTACTCAAAAAACATATAATATAAAACTAAGACAGTCAACTCTGTTCAGAAAATTGTAACACCTCAGCACATCTGATTGTCTCAGCAGCTCTCAGTAACTATTAATTACATCTCCTTTGAGAAATATAACAAAAATGCATTATTTTGTTTGATGTTGTAAAAAACAGCCCATCTGTTCTAACTCTGCATCGTTTAGTGGCTGAGATGTAAACAGAGTGATTCAGAGTGGTTTGGTGTGAAATCGTTGATTGTAGAGACTCAGATGTCTTTACAGTGGCGGTGATAGGAACCAGGGGTCACCATGACTACAACACAGATATAGACATTTTATTTACTATCCAAAACCACCAGTGAACCTACACTAGTCTTCTGAGCTTCATATGGAATGTTGATGATGATAAAACAGTACAAAATCTGAATAATACATTTTATGTGGGGACTAATTTTCCTCACAAAGACCTCCATGTATCCCTCCACCACGAATTGATTATTTAAACACATTTCAGACCAAAATCTTCTCAAAACTATCGTAAAACAGTGTCTCAGTCATCAGGCAGTGAATTCATAACCATTTCATGTAGTAACTTTTTGTGAGGGAGCTTTTAGAGGTGGACGCCTGGTTCCTATCACCACCACTGTGAACGATTCTGACTCTGTAAGTTTCTCTAGAACAGAGCGTTTCACACCAAACCACTCTGAATGACTCTGCTTACATCTTTATGACTGAGTTACACAGAAATTCCCCTTTAAACTCAGCAAATAAATAGAAATTTAGCAAACAAATCTGCAGAAAATGCCATTTTTTGTGTTCTTGTGCTCGTTAGAGGGGCTGTTGACTCATTTTCATTTAGAAAATCAACAAAACAAAATAAGAAATTACTGCTACTGCAGAGAAACAAACTCACCGTCTTGGATTTCGACATTTTTCATAGTTTTCTGTGAGAGATTTTCTCTAAATTCAAGTGCAGCCTCTGTCCCTCAGCTACGGCCCCATCAGAGAGAGAGCTGATAGGTTCCGTTCACTGGAGAACCTGATGTTTGGTTCCTGTGTTCTTCCACACTCTCAAAAAAGATGGTTCTTCAAGGGGTCTTTAGAACCATGAGTTCTATACAAAAAAAGTGTGCAAATAGAACTATGGTTCCAAATAGAAACAGAATCTTTAGTAAAGGCAGTGGTTCTATTTAGAACCATGAGTCCTATATGGAACCATTTGCATGTTCAAATGGTTCTTTGAATGGTAGAAGGGTTCTTCAGATGAATGTGTTGTGGTTCTATGGTTCTATGTAGCACCAGGGAGGGTTCTGCTGTGGTTACAACCATTACATCATCACAGAGGAACCCGTTCTGGTTCTACATAGAACCTCTACAACACATTCTCCATCAATCTGACGAACCGTTTCACCATGCAAAGCATTTAAGCATGCAATGGTTCTATATAGACCTCATGGTTCTAAATAGAACCACTGCCTTTCCTAAAGAACCCTTAAAGAACCAACTTTTTTAAGTGCCACTTCACAGAAAAGCGAGGAAAACTTACAAGGCTGAAATCAGCTTTTTGATCGAACTTGCCCGTTCCACCTTAAATGAATTTAAGGGCTACGGCTGCTCAATTTAAGGTGGAACGGGAAAACTCGAACAGCCTCGCGGAAAACTTTTCACCTGTTTCCGTCTAACTCACCCAGGCGGGCAGCTCGCAGTGCTCCTCCGCGCGCTCTCCGCCCTCCGCCTCGCGCCGCGCTCTCTCGCTCCTGCGCGCTCTCCTCCTCCTCCACATGAAGAGCAGCGCGAGCCCCAGCAGCAGCCAGCACGCGCTCAGCTCCAGGTACCCGAGCGCGTACACCGGGAACACGAGCACGAGCGTGCGGGCCAGGTGCGACCACACGCGCGCCACCTCACCTGCGGCGCGAGTCCAGCACTTGCTGGCCGGTCCGGGTGCGCTCGCGCCTGCTGCCGCGCTCTCAGCCATGCGATCACACTTTATTTACTCTCCACAAGCCGGTCCTTCCTCCAAGCTTTGATTAGGGCTCAGCACGCGCAGCAGCCCATCCTGTCACGGTCGATCAGTCTCGTGACATTCGCAGTCACAGAAATGATGAGGGTAATCCAGGGCGCGCGCGTGAGCTCAGCCCATCCTGACACGGTGGTCCCGTCTACGAGATATTAATAACGATATTAGTGATAATAACAGCAGTGATAGTTTAGATAATGACGATTAAGCGGTCTTTACGGAGTGCACCGGTTTCGCACGTGACGGTCTCGCTCCATGGCTGAAGCTCTCTGACTCCGACGGTCCTCAGAGCCTCGGCAGAACTCTGGGAGGCGGGGCTACAGCTGACCCGCCCCCTCCTCACCTTCACACCGGATTGTCATTGGCCAGCTCAGTTTGGCACCATGGCGTTCCCCTTTCTTGGGGGTGGTGGTGTTTCACAAAGCAGAATTACTCAGTTTAGCCAGATAAATTAAGCCCATAGTGACGCCTGTCCGACAGGAGAGGAGCTGAGGGACATTCCTACTGGACAGTCCTGATCTCTGGGCTCCAGTTATCTGGCTTTAAGTGTTTAAGTACGATGTTCTCAGGTGGACTAAGACTTTGGCACAGTACTGCAGGACACACCGAGAGAAGCGAACCTCATAATAAACACATTACAGCACAGGGAACAGCACTGCTGGCTCAACCTGACCGCGTGAACAGCTGAACACACTCCGGACTGAGGCGCCACCTGGCGTTCACAGGCTGTAGGTACATAAACCAAACCCTCGTGTCGTTGGAAGAACACACTCACCACCCACTTTAACCCACACCCCTACGGGGCCCTGCTGGTGACATCTCATATAAATAAAAATAATGCGTGGCCGCACCATCAAGTGTTTCTGTTGGTTCCTGATGGTTTTGTGATGTGTTTTGAAATTTTAATGGGCTAATATCACAGTGTAAAGGATCCTAATGGTATAACAGATGCCTGACTCTAAATGCTTTCAATGGCTTCCTAATGGGATCTAAAGATGTTCTACGGGACAGTAGTGGTCTACCATTACCTTAATGGAAACCATTAAGCCAGTTCCCACTAGAAAGCAAAACCATTAGGTTTTAATGGTGCTTTTTCAGCAGGGAGGCAACAGGTATTGTCCAGCTGAGAGAATTTAAAGTGCAAAGTGCAAAAGTTCTGTAAAAATCTGTAAAAAATCTATCTATCTATCCGTCTGTCTGTCTGTCTATCTATCTATCTATCTATCTATCTATCTATCTATCTATCTATCTGTCTGCCTGTCTGTCTATCTGTCTATCCGTCTGACTGTCTGTCTGTCTGTCTATCTATCTATCTATCTATATATCTATCTATCCGTCTGTCTGTCTGTCTGTCTATCTATCGATCTGTCTATCTGTCTGTCTGTCTGTCTATCTATCGATCTGTCTATCTGTCTGTCTGTCTGTCTATCTATCGATCTGTCTATCTGTCTGTCTGTCTGTCTATCTATCTATCTGTCTGTCTAGCTGTCTGTCTATCTTTCTGTCTGTCTATCTATCTATATATATATATATCCGTCTGTCTGTCTATCTGTCTATCTTTATATATATCCGTCTGTCTGTCTATCTGTCTGTCTGTCTGTCTGTCTGTTTATCTATCTATCTATCTATCTATCTATCTATCTATCTATCTATCCATCTATCCGTCTGTCTGTCTGTCTGTCTGTCTGTTTGTCTATCTATCTATCTATCTGTCTGTCTGTCTGTCTGTCTAAACTTCCCCAAGCCAGAAAGCTGGGTGTTCGATGTTTCGATGATCTTTTGCACGGCGTCTCCATGGTGAGCTTGGTGTTAGAGCGCTTGCTCTGTGCTCGATTGGCCCGCCCTGTTGTCAAGAAGACATGACGCAGTTGCTATGGTTTTGTTGGGAACGCGCACGCGCCGTTAGCCGCTCATGGCGCTGAGCGCTGTAAACACGAAGCTGACCGGAGGAGAAACGAGGGGAGATTCCGGGTTATAATGCACTCCGAGAAGGTAAGAGCGTTTATACACGGTTTATTACCTTATTAGGGGCTTTAGATGGTAATAAGGATCCACTTACAGCGAGCTGTGGTGTCTAAATCGCTGTTAGTCTGAGCACAGCCTGTCACTAACGTCAGTTAGCTACAGTACGGCTCCTCGCTAACTTAGCGACAGTTTCATTCACAGTATCCCGCTTAGACGGTAATCTAGGAGACATTTACCACCCGACAGCCTAAACGTGAGGTTTGTGTCGATATTATCACTTCTACTAAACATCTAACTCCACCTCTTAAGTGTACAAATTCAAAAAGTAGAGAAATTGGCTTCTTACTCGCCCGCTTCTTTTATTCTTTTACCATTTTATCCATTCCACCTTAAATAGTGCAGAAGTTAGCTACTGTTTAAGGTGGAACGGAGAATAAGAAGCTAGCTAACGAGACTTCAGCTTCGTATTGAACACTGTGGATTTACTGTGCACCAAATGCTAGTTAATGCATTTTAAACTCTCAGTAACTATTAATAACCGAGGTTACTGAGCTGTCACCTCGTTTCAGAAATACAGTTTGACTAAATGCCTTAGCTTAGATTAATAAATAACTGATAAACCTAAAACCTAATCAGGTCTCACTCAGTCTCTAAGACCCTCCATCATTCTTTCCTGTCATTCTCCCATGACACTGACTTTCTCACCTCTTTAAGCAGCTTTAAATGATTCATTATGGGATGTTAAGCTTTAACGTGCACACGTCTTACTTTTTTCTTGTGTTTTAATTACACTGCACCTCTAAGGGGTAAAATGGATGTGCAAAGTATGATTTTGGTACAGAAAACCACACAAACTATTTCACTGGAAAAATACAATGCTATTGTAGGATACAGTCCAGTCCAGTCCTAGAAATTGCAATGCCAGTGGTCAAAAAACCCTTGTAGCACTCATTTACATTGAACACCAGCTCTGTCTTCTTTCTCTTCTTTTTCTTTCTTCAGAAAATAACGAAAGAAGACACATGGAGATCCTATGAGTTAATGAAGCACATACAGGTAAGCTTATGCATGTGTGTGTATGTGTTTTCTGCTATTAAGCACAGAACAACTTTTTTTCCCCAAAGCCAGCCTGTAAACGCAGTGTAACAGTCCTTAAGGTTGAGCTGAGCTGAGCTGTTGTTAAGTTGAGTCGAGTCGTATGGATGAGAGTCAAATTGAGCTGAGTTGAATTACGTTAAACTGAAGTGAGTTGTGAGCTTAGCATTGGCCTCTGCTGCTGATGTTCTGGACCTGAAAAAGAGTAAGTAGGTCCCAGTCATGAACACAAGGGTACACAGCCTGAGCTCCACCTCCCGAGAAGGAAGAGAAGAGTGCCGGGCTCTTGGGTCTGAGCAAATTTGCATTGAATTGTGTGGAACTGATGAACTGAACTGAATCAAGTTGAGTTAAGATAAGCTTTTTATACACTGCACTGCTTTCAGAGTCCTCACAGATTATAAAAGACTGGGCATCCTGACTAAACTTTGTAGATTTGTTTGGCTGCTGAAATATTGGGGTTCACACACTGCATAGCTTGTAAGTTGTTGTTGAACCAAAATAAACCCATTGAATATACACAAATGCGCATGCTCTCCCATTATTATTAGGAAATGCACATAGAAAAAAACTTGGAAGTATAGAAGCCTCCTCCTGCTGCTGTTTTCGCCACCATTTCTGCTGAAACAATAAAGAAGAGACAAGTAAAACACATTTGAGGCTTTCAGTTTGAGACTTGATCATACGGAATGAGCGATAGGGCAGGAATATCATATCATGATGGTACACGGCATACATGGTACATGGTATGATAGTATATGGTATCTCTGTAACCGAAGATTGGATCGTCAGGAGCCTCCCCTTTTCTGCTCATCCCCCATCTCTTTAGCCTCCAGGGAACCACAGGTACCGCACTCTAAAGGTCGACAGCAGAGAACAGCTCAGCAGACCGTCCTGCTTAGTATCCTGATGGCACCCCTCTGCAAACCACTTGACCTGCTTGCGAAATTTAGAGGGTGTAATTCTGAGATAGAAGGCGTGACTAGGATGAGACTTGGCCCAGAGGTTGGCCACCCAGGCCTCCATTGAATAGCACCAGCCCCAACCCAACACCTCCATATTGAGGTTCCCTAGAGCTGGGAATGCATCAATACCATTTTTTCAGACAGAGTACAAGTACACATACTTTAGTATTTGCCGATACCGAGTCCGATACCATATTAAGTAACCTACTTAGAATTTAGTGGTTAGTGGAAATGAGTACAGTGTACCTTAACAGTCAAACATTAAATCTGGCTGATTTTAAATGGAGTGCATTAGCTAGATATGCTACATTAGTTAGCTTGGATCAAGTAGTGCTGCAGTGGAGAAGAGCGGGTTTTGTTACACGTCAGAAAAGCGATTCGGACAAAGCCTACGATTTATATTCTCTCACTGTATGAAAACGCTCTGTCCATGCTACGTGAACATGCAGACTCTGTAGGCAAATCTGTCTGTAGACAATTATCAGTTAAACTGTTTCATTTAAAATAATATGCTGCGCTCTGAGTACTGAGCAAGGCAGTGATGTACAAGATAGGAAAATGCAGACTCTCTACAGCCTATTTTACAAAAAAATGACCGTATTAACATTTATCCCTCGTAAGTTTATTCAAACAGAGTAAAGTCAGCATAGACGGACTTTGGTAGGAAATGTCGGCTCATTTGCCTCCTTTTTTCTGTCCGTTGTGTCTCCGCCTGTGGTAGAGAAGTGGTTGTGATTGTATGTTTAAAAAGGGCTAAAATCACAGTGTATTCCTGGTGGGAATATAACAAGTCAAGTCAAGTCAATGTTTATTTAAATAGTGCTTTTTACAACGGGTGTTGTCACAAAACAGCTTCATAGAAAAATCCAGGTCTGAGCCCCCGCGAGCGTCGCCAGTGGTGACAGTGGCAAGGAAAAACTGTCTAAGAGCAAGAGGAAGAAACCTCGAGAGGAACCAAGACTCAGAAGGGGAACCCATCCTCCTGTGCCAAGGTGGAATGTTTAAAGTGACCAGTGAGTTTGCATCCGACCTCCACAGAGTCAGGAACTCTTCTCTGTGTGAGCAGAGCCTCCTTCACTGCCAGCTTGAGGCGTTTGTTCATTAACACGGCAGTGTACACTCGGCTTACATCTCATGGTATCAGCTGGTATCGGAATGTTGGTATCGATGGATTTTTATGAGTATGAGTAAATGAGCGTGGTATCGGCCCGATTCCCGATACCAGTATCGCTATCTAGACCTGGCCAAAAAATTGTAACTTCATGGTCTTGTATCTTCAGCCATTGATTGGATCCAGGCCCCCTGAATTCAGCCACCGCAACCTTCCAGGCACTGGGGGACCAGTGATGTTGAAGGGTGATGGGGCCAGTTTCCCAACGCTACTCCTCCATGAAGAAAAAAAATGCATCTGCTCCAGATTTTGCCAAGTTAAAGATCTCGCTGTTGCTTTGGATGAGCTCTGCACTGATCCTGTATCCCCCAAGGAACCAGAGATAACATGCTTTTCCCAAATAACTTGGATAATAACTGGATACTCTTCACTCAGCAAGGAAGAGTCGAAGCTCCACCAAACTTCACAGGTTGGAACCTCTGGGACCTCTGATTGGACCAAGCCTGCTCCTGTCTCGGTAGCCGGAGATGGTGCAGAGATCAGCTTAATGTCTGTCCGACATATTTCTTTTATTATTTGCTCTGTCTGAATCATTCAGATCGAGTCCTTGACCAATATAAATTTCTAGATTAAATCAGTGATTCACTCCAACTGTATATCTATGACTCTTTGCCCCTCGCATGCTTTCTGACTTTCTCTCTCGGCCTGACTGAGAATCCAGGCTAAATTCAGGGTGGAAGTCGTGTTGTGTAGTTGATTTGAAGTGGTGTGTGATTTGTGCAGGGGCAGGATGAGGAGAACAGGAGGAGAGAACGATCGAAGAGGGAAGAAACTCACAGGAAACAGAGGAGTGGAGAGTCCACAGACCGCAGACACAGAGACGGAGAGAGAGACGAGAGGAGAGAGAGAGAGAAACAGAGAGAGAGAGACAGCACGAGAGAGAGAGCAAAGCACAGAGAGCCAGAGCGGGACAGAGAGGAGGAGAGAAGGAGGGACGAACGAGAGAGGAGAAAAGAGAGAGATGAAGAGAGAGATGGAGGGAAAAGAGGCTCGGAGAGGAGGGCTGATCGAGATGAGAAAGAGAACAGAGACAGAGAGAAGGAGAGACAGAGAGAGAGATACAAAGACAGAGATAGAGAGGGAGAGGGAGACTTGGGGAGATACAGAGAGAAAGAGAGAGAGAGACTTAGAGATAGAGATAAAGATAGAGACAGAGACAGGGAAGAGAGGGATAGACTGAAAAACAGGGAAAGAGAAAAAGACAGAGAGAGGGAGAAAGAGAGGTACAGGGAAAAAGAGGGAGAGAGGGAGAAAGACAGAGAGAGAGAGAAACATAAAGAGAAAGAAAGGGATAAAGATAGAGAGAGGGAGAGAAGGAGGGCAGAGAGGGAGAAGGAAAGAAGAAAAGAGAAGGAGGGGAGTAGAGATGTGGAGGAAAAGCACAGGGAGAAAGATAAAGAGCGAGAGAGGGAGAGGAGAGAGAGGCACAGGGAGAGGGAGGAACGCCACAGAGATGAAGAACAAGAACGGAGAGAACGAGAAAGGCGAGAGAAACACGGCCACAGAGAGAACTCCGGACATGCGGACCGAGGTGAGGCCCAAAAAAGAGAGATTAATACTTTTATTGTTATGTGTTTGGGACTTTAGGGAGTTGTTCCGTAGGTTTTCCTGAGGTTGCTGTTTTCATGAACTGTCATATTTTAATGAATTCATAAATCTACTTTTCTACTTGTTTTTCAGAGGAAAGAAGGGAGCGGAGACGAAGAGAGAAAGAACACTATGTAAGATTGAAGAGATTCAAACAAACAAACTAAGTTAACTACAATGAAAATATTGGTAATAGATGTCTTGTGTCGTACAGCGTCATAAAGGGGAATTCCACCAATGTTTCAAAATTTCTTGATAATTCAGTGTAAACAGAGTCATTCAGAGTGGTTTGGTGTGAAATGGTTGATTGTAGAGACTCAGATTTCTTTACAGTGGTAGTGATAAGAACCAGGGGTCGCCATGACTACAACACAGATATAGACCTTTTATTTACTATCCAAAACCAGCAGATTCTACACGTGTCTTCTGAGATAATACTAGTAAATCTAAAAAAAAAACATTGCTTTCTTTGGAGGCTATTTTGCCGTACGACACAAACTGTGTCTCAGTGAATTCATAGCCATTTAATGTAATAACTTTCTGTGAGGGAGCTTTTAGAGGTGGACATCTGGTTCCTATCACCACCACTGTGAACAATTCTGACTTGATAAGTTTCTCTAGAGCAGAGCGTTTCACACCAAACCACCCTGAATGACTGTTCACATCTTGAAGCTTTAATTATGCAGAAATGATGAAAGATTAGCAAAAATCTATGAAACTCCTCTTAGGTAAGAATAAGAAACTAAATATATGTTTTAATATATGTGCTTTCTGATGCTGCTTGACATACTATTATCTACGAATATATAATGTATGTCAGTTAAAAACAGTAGAGGTCGACTATGAAGTAAGTGTACATTTTTAACTCAACTGTGTAAATTATGTTTTTTCTCTGAACTTTCTCTTTAAAGTTGTAATCTCTGGTTGTGATTGTGAGCTCTGATGTCATTGTCGGCCGTAGGAAGCTGGTGAGAGAGACCTCAACGACGCTCGGGAAACAGAGCAACAGCAACGACACCGTGAGGGTGAAAGAGAGAGAGAAAGAACGAGAGATAGAGAGGAGAGAGATAAACGGAGAGAAAAGAGGCACGAAGGGTCGAAGAAGAGCAGCACCGATCAAAGACATGAAAAATCAGAGAGCAAGCACAGGAGCACTGAGCAAGAGGTAAGAAACGGCAGAACATTTTTAAGAGCATCCTTACATTAAAGGCATCGTTGTGTTGTCTTGTAGAGACATCCTGTATGACACACTGTTATCTGTGAAAAAGGACAAAAGTATGGTCAAGACTCTGGCTTTAAGACCAGCGTTGTTGTTTCTAGCTACGCAACTTTCGTCCATCTTCATAGATGACAATATGCTACACAGTGTCTGTGTTTACATGCAAATATATTAGCCAATCCCATTGAATACATTCCGATTACAGATTAAGACTGAGGTGTTTATGCTCCCTCTACCCAACGATCTGATGGAAAATCTCTGTCTACATGCTCACTACAAGTAATCAGATCCAAAATTACATGCGTAGGTAGAGTACCACTCAGTGTAGACGTTACCATGACAACGAGCATCATGTGAGTCCAGTCAGAGTGAGATGAGCAGCAGTGAGCAGCGCTTGTGTTTTTAATTACTTTAAAATGATGTCAGACTCAGGAAAACGTCCTTCACATGTCCTTATTAAAGAAGGCCGAGAGGAAGACGTCGTGTTCTGAGACACATAAGCTGGACGTCCGTCCCACCGCCGTCTTTTAAAGATCAGAGCATAAACTTCGTCTCCTCTGCAGACCAGTTTCTGCTCCGCCACGTTGAACGGTATAAACTTTCACTATGACGTGACGAACATGATCAGAACGGACTTAAACTTTCCGATAGGGAATGTAATCAGATACAGGCGTTTACACGGATATTATTCTTTTATTTAACAGATTATTTACAGGATTACCCACCTCATTCAATCAGATAGGAATTGCAGTCTGTATGGCCCCAATCGGACTAGTCTGTTCTGATCGAGGTGTTTACGTGTTCTGTTCCGATTGAGCTATTAGTTGGATTATTAACGGATTATTAGGTCAGCACTCACATAATCAAGTCTATTAAAGATACTGTACCACTCCACACAGTCTGAGGTGAGTGTGTGATGATTTAAGCACACATTAGCACCATGCTACTTGGTGGGCTATAAGCTCCCATTACTAGCAACATTAGCCTAGTGGCTCCAGTGTAAAACTAAAGAAGCAAAGTTCAGACACCAAACATGTCCTGGCTGAATGTCTACACTCTTAAAAAATTTGGTGCTTCAAGGTTTCTTTAGTAAAGAAAACAGTTCTGTATAGAACCATAGACACATACATCATGAAAGGGTTCTTCGGATTGATGGAATGTGTGCACAAATGTGCTATAGATGGTTCCACATAGAACCTTTTTGATAAGGGTACTATATTGCACCCAAGCTTGATGCCATAACAATAGAAGAACCCCTTTGGATGCTATATAGAACCATTTTCTATATAGAACCATCTATAGCACTTTCTCCATCAGTCTGAATAACCCCTTCACAATGTAAAGAACCCTTTAATCATGTAAAGGGTTCTTTGAGTGTTTAGGGTTCTATATAGAATAATTTTCTTTACTAAAAAACTCTTGAAGCATATTTTTTTAAGTGTGTGCCTTCAGGGTAATATTAATTTTAATCACTTATGAATAAATTCAGTACTTTTATGTCCTGACTAAGTTGCTTCAGTACTACAGTGCACAGAAAAATTCCATGTCATTCAAAATCGAATTTCAATTAAATACCTAAGTCATCTTATAAGCATCAGTGAGCCAATAAACATGTTGTATGTTCTAAAATCTAGAGTGCTCATTGTCTAATTTATGCATGTTATTAACATCAGTGCATCTTGATTAGCCTGTAATCTGTTGGGGTCCATTAATGCAACCACTTCACACTCATTTACGGCACTTCACACTGAAGCGACACCCACTTTTGGCTTGTAATTTAAAAGAGAGTGTTGAAAAAAGTAAAGTTTGAGAGTTGGTTTCAAAGTCAATCTTGGTTTCCAAATATTTTGAACACTTTTGAACTCAGATAAATCAGAAATTGCATTTGGTAATCTGTTAGTCTGTAAATGGGCTTAATACACATTGAAAATGTTAATAATTTAATCAGAAAATATCAATATTTGATACCTATTGACAAATATTGATGTGGTGTATTGATATTATTGATTTTTAAACCCAAAATATTGCAATAATATACTGCATTTACTTTGTCTCCCACCCCTGTCCGAGGGTGTCTCACTCTCACCTCATCATTTATGAATATAAGTATAATAAATATAGTCACAAGACTGGTTTCCCAGATGTGGATTAAGTAGTCTTAATTAAGACTAGTCTCTTAAACTGGCCCATAAAATGTCATATTTATTGGTGTTGTTATAAGTACTAATAGGCAAAATAGTAATTTTAATATTTAAATATTTATTTGATTTTTCTTTATCCCTTATTCATATTTTCTTACGAAAAAAACTCTGCATGCTGTTCTTCATTTGCTGATTTACAAGTGAGGAGCATCAATATTTATCATCTTGATTATAGTTTTATATTGAAGCAGATTGCTGGATTAAACATGATGTTTTGATATTTTATTATTTTTCAGTAATTGAACTGAAGGGATTCAGAGATAATAACAGATTCTTTAATAGCCAAGCAGCTGGTCAGTTTGGTCTGTTATTATTATATGTTTTATTATAATAAACCCAAATTTTAGTATCCACAGTGCTTTCATTAATTATGTAAATTGATATGAATATTCATCACAGTCTGTATATTCACAGTTCTTCATCTGCATGCTCACCTGTCTTTCCGATTGGTTAGCAGATATGAGTGTTGTGAGTTGGGCCACTAATTAATCCCGCATGTGTGCAAGCAGGTGGAGGACGAAGTCATTGAGGATGGTAATGAGGCAGCTGAGGATTACGGGAATGACGACTACGAGGAGGATTTTGAGGTAGGAAGAACGTTTCATGTGCTGTCTTTGCTCTGATGAGTCATTATTCACCATCCTGTGGTGTTCAGGCATGTGGGTCACATGATCACAATGTTGTTTTGTTTTTGATTTTTAATGCATGCCTTCAAATGAACTGTGTTCTACAAGAGAATGGTGAGTTTGTTGTGCAGAAGAGATAGACGTGTAGAGAGAGACTTTCGTCCATCTATGCTTTCCCCCCCAATGTAGCACTCCAGAGCCCAATGTAGAAACTTGTAGTGATTTTAATACAATATCAAATAACTGTCAAAACTGTACATAAAAAAATTAAACTGTATGGCCGATACTTATGCTGCAGGGCTGGAAGTCACTGCAGACTCCATGTTACGATATTATCATGATTCTTGAGCTACAATACGATTCTGTTGTGATATTTAAAGATTTGTGAGATGCTAAGCACTGCAATATGACGTAATTGTGTTTTTCCCTTTTACCTCCAAGATATTTTTGAAAAAGAACACTTTCTGTTTTGTGTAATGAAGTTCAAACACTGTTCGTCTCACTTCAGTCTTTTTATAGAAATAAACTGTGAAGTAGACAAGTCAACATAAAAAATATATCCTTATAAATTTAGCAGATGCTTTTATTTGCAACATTGACAAAGATTTAAAACAGGCTTTCTCCTTACATATAGAGCAAATTTCCCAGTTTAGACAGCTGTTATAGTCACGAAGTGTGGATTTGATATAGTTTTACTAGATTAAAGTGCAGTCAGTCTGACTTTGGGCTAAGAAAAAGGCAGTAAATGTCATTGGATTTACAAAAACAAAAGGACTCCATGCAGTGGAGCTACGTTCTTAGATAGATAGATAGATAGACATATAGATAGACATATAGATAGACATATAGATAGATAGATAGATAGATAGATAGATATTTTCACATTTTTGTGTTCACCTGTGTTTATCAACCAATTAAGCCAAGTTAACGTCTTCGGCTGCAGGACTATGAGGAAGACTTTGAGGAGATGGAGGAGGAGGAAGAAGAAGACAAAGGAGGAGAGGAGGATGAAAACGAAGAGAGAGAGGGACAGAGGGAGCTGAGCCCACGGAGGAGAGAAGAGATTGAGGCCATCCAGAGAGCGATGCAGCAGGAGAACGAGCTGGTCAGCTCCGCCCACTCGCGACCCTCAACCAGAAAGGCTGAACCAACTCAGAAAGGTAGACTCACCAATCAGTGCCCTGCTGCATCAGTCAGACGGTGGCAGTTCGATTATTATAGATTCTAACATTCAGTGCAGCTGAACAGACACCTTCTGATTGATGCAGTCTGTTTGGTTGAGAAGTGTTCTACTCGCACTGTTTTGTGATAGCAATAACTATCATTCTGCTGAGCACTGGTCGCTTAGTAACAATGTTAAGCTGTAGCTAATCATTAGTATATTTATACGTTACATTACAGAACGTCTATAAGATAATATTTAACCTGCAGCTCGTTTGGTCAGATTCTGAAAAAGAGTAAGAAAGCAGGACTACATCATATTCTGAACCTGTCATTGGCCCGATGCAAGCTTTTTAGCCGGCAGCTGTGATGGAACAACTAAACAAACTGGAAATGTACACAATATAACTCAGCAAACAGATGAGCTGTGAAATGGTTTACAGACAGACTGGAAGGAAATCTCTTTCAGGTTCCTCTGGCAGATATTGATAAAGCAGAGCTGAACCTGATATTGCAGCAGTCTCATGGCTCTGTCTCTAACGTAAAAGGCCATACTTTCTTAGCGGAAGGAATTGCCAATATTACAGCATATTTGGTTCAATGTTTAGGCTTCTTTGCTCTACTTTTTTCTTTAAATTGCAGAGCTGTTGTATAACAGTAATATAACACTTGAGATCAAGCGTTACAGCAAATAACACCTGTGATGATCCACTGTACGACAGCATTTTCTGCTGAAAACAGCCCGATGCGTGCTATTGTTTTGGTGCCACTTGTGTATTCAGTGTATTTTTTTATTCAGAATTGTACTAAATCTGTCAAATTGAATCATCGGATTGTTTGCAGCTACAAGCTGTGGAGAAGCTTGTGTTCATGTATCTGTTGTCTTCTGAATACTAGTGAGTGCTGACTCAGAGAGCCGCTCGAAGAAAGGCCGAACCCACGGCAGGGTTATTGACTTTGCAGCAGCGAGGCAGAGAGAGGTCAACCAGCAGGCTGCTGACAAACAGAAGTGAGTAACCTGGACACATCTTTAAGGCACAGTTTCGTGATTTACACAGACATATTTTAGGTTTAAAGATGCCTGATGCTGAGTCAATGTTTTTAGATAATAGTGTGTCATACAGTGTCAGAAACCACATAATCAAGGTATCCTGGTATTATTTTTGGTCAAAAATCTTGCTGGATCAACAACATCATAACATTTTCTTTGCAAGATGAAGAAAGAACAGAGAAAACGAATGAAAAATAAAATGTTTGAAAATGATAGCACTTTGTTGTTATGGCTGCAGGCTTGTAATGAAGACAACACTGACAGCTCCACACGATTTGAGGCAAGCATGCATTTTTTAGGCATGCAGTTACCACCATGCTAATTAGTGGGCTATACATTACCATTACCAATTGCTTACGTTGCTTGTTTGCTACATTAGCCTCATAAGGCCAACGAGTAACTAATAAATCAGATTTCACACTCCGAACATGTCTTGGTTGATCAACAGAATTTTGTAAATTGACATTGTTTCTCATCTTGATGATTTACAATTTAGTACAATATTGGAAATTTGTTCTTCTGTGTAAAATATGAAGCGGTAGTTAGGTACATGTCCCTGTTTGTCGTTGTAAAACAGATCATCATAAAACAGAATGTAGGACTGGAGTTTTCTTTGAGCTACTTTGTTAACTATCACTGTTCAAAAGAAGCTCCATACTGCCTTTCTTGTTGGATGAACAGCAATAGTTTCACTACAGGCTAATTCAGAGTGCAATTTGGATCGGTAATGCTTATTATTGATTGATTTATTACATCAGAGTAATAATAAAACATGACTGATGTGTGACCTGTATTCCTATTCATGCATTAACGTGTTTAAAATTAAAAGCTAAAAATAAATATCTACTAATCTTTATCAGATCACATTCTTTACATATCAAAATAAATGTAGCAACAGTGTTTAGAAATCACCTTATCAAAGAAAAACAGTATATTATACTGTAGAAGTGGCCACATTTTCAGCAGCCTTGAAGATTAATTTATTGTGAGTCAGCAAATGAGTTCAGTTGATAGATGACGTGACTGAATAGGTCGATTGATTGGCTGTTTGTGATGCAGGAAACGCAGCGCAGAGCTCCTGCGGTTGATTGATCTGGATTTTTCTGTCACCGAGTGTCTTCTGGACCTGCCGCCGGTCAGCGAGTACGACATGTACATCAAGAGCTTCGGAATGGCGAACACAAAACAGGTCTTTTCTTTTGTTTACTTTAAAAACTGTACACCGTGTAAACTGTGTGCAACAACTGGATATCATAGAAACAAGGAGGTGGTCATAATCTCATGTAATGTCCATGTAATGTTTCTACTTGGTTTAAATCAGTAATTAGAAGATGAAAAGTTCCAGTCCTAAGATCTGCTTAAAAGCACTGAAAAAACTCAATATAAACAATACAAAGAAAATTATTTTGTAATGTCCTACATTATTAAAAAGTCCATTAATTGTTTGTAAATACATAAAGAATTTGTATGCTTGGCATCTTTAGCCTACTGTTAGCAAACAGTATTGCTTGTTGGAAGAATTGTTTATAACAATAGATTTTTTTATTGAACATTAATGTACTTTATCAAAAGCCAATGATATGATGCTTTGCCTAACAACACCCTTTAACCGTAGTAAAATCACTGAACTGCATAGCGTCCAGTTTATTGCTATATTGTCCACTGTTCAAATGGCCTGTTATTATTTTTGTCTAAAATCTTGCTGGATCAACAACATCATATCAACATTTTCTTTGCGAGATGAAGAAAGAACAGAGAAAACGAATGAAAAATAAAAATGTTTGAAAAATGCTTGTCAAGCATGATAGCACTTTGTTGTTATGGCTGCAGGCCTATGTGCAGTGTAATGAAGACAACACTGACAGAGACACTCAGACAGAGGAGACGGACAACATGGACAAATGGACTCAACATCCACCAGAGACCAACATCGCGTGTGGGGGTACTGAACACACCACATCCACCACACACATCCATGATTCAGTTAGGATCTTTCTCTTGGAAATACCACATTAAATTTGAGAAAACTGAAATAGGTGTGATATAAAGAGTCACCGTCAGTGGTTAGTGTCATATAGCCAGTGCACTGTGAACATGCAAAATCAATACACAAATAGTTTTTTACTGTTTTAGTGTAAGATAAATATTAACATTTGTTCATTCGTTGTGTTTATTTGAATTGAATAAAACCAACACATTTGCTTGGTGCCACATGAAGTAATAGTGTAGGTCAGTCTTGTTCTTGTGGGCATCACGGTAAAAGTTTCAGAAGCGCAGAAGTTTCAGGCACCTCACCACCAGACATTTTTCAGTACCTTGTTTGTATAAATAATTATTCATTATGTTAAATCAAGGGTTTCGGTGATGTTGTTTAACAAATCCATCTGATGTCTCGGGGCATCCAGGAGAAATCTGGAACCAAACTTTGTTTTTCAAACTAGCACAAGTTCTCAAGCACTTTTTGAAAATAAGAAATTCTTGTCACTTTTTATTAATATTTGTTTATTTACATCTATTCTAATGATATATGGTGATTTTTCTGGCAAAAACACACTCATTGCTAAAATATTGAGTTCACTACACAACTTTTAAAGTCTGAACAGATGATAAAAGACTGGGTGTCTCACACTATCCGACTGGTTTTGCAGATTTTTTTGAGCGACTGAAATATTGGGGATCCACACTAAACGATTAGGGATCACACACTACTCAACTTTTCAGCTGCTGCTGAACTGAACTCTCGCGTTCTCCCTTTGCTGGGAGACCCAAATAAACAAACGTGAAGCTGCTGCTGCTGTTTTCTCTGCCGTTTGCGCCGACACAGTAAAGAAGCAGCAGGTAAACATGTTTAAGTGAGGATCGTTGACTTAAAACTGTGATCAGTTTGGTGTTTTTTAGAGTTTTAAATGTACATAAACTCGATTGTGCCTTAAACTCAGCTCATTAAAAAGCTTCTCTCCACATGTGAAAGACTTGGCCATTTTTCTTTGTTTACCTACTGTATTTTCTTCTTTCGTGCTCTCAGTTTTCATTGGCTGTTGCAGGAATCCGTTCAGATTGAGTCTTTAACCTTTTTACGCCAGATTACACTCAGAGTCAGGTAAAAAAAAATCAGACGTTTGATAAACTCTGACTGGTCTGAAAAGCGATCGGGAGGCAAAAAATCAGAGTCTGCGCCCCTCAAACACGACTCGATTCTCTCTCCAACTGTCGACTCTGGCTGACTCAAAAATCTGCAGACCAGAGCCGACTAGCTAGACTGAGAATCTGAGCTAAAATCGTGGTAAAGGTTGTATAATGTAACCCCGGCTTAAGATAATGTGCTCAGGTACAAGACTTTTGCGCTAAACTGTCCTATGAATAACTTTCCAGTGTCCACTAAATGACCGATGTATATATCCGTATTTTTTTTCTGTCGATGTAAACTGGGCCTAAGCAATACTTTCCTCAATTACAGTGCTAATTTGGTTTAGCTTTGACAAAACTTTGTTCCCCTACAGTCTCTTTCTCTCTGTTTGAGTCGGAGAAACGTACCAAGAGAAAGCTAACCACCAAGCAAAAGCTAACCTAGCAAGCATTACTGAGCTATTTGGCTAGCTCATCTGACTGCCTGTCATCAGTCTGTTTGTTTGTCTGTCCATCCGTGTGTTTGTTCAACCTACAATACCAGCATTGCCTGGATGAGACATTGCCTCACAAAAGCTGGATAATGTGTTTAGCGAGTGGACACAGCGGGGTATACGACGCTGCCTGTATATGTAGAGCCTGTTTAACTCATTTCTCCTTGCTTCATTCACACTGCTGTGTTTAGTTCTACTTCAGGCTGATGATGTGATGGACTGAGGAATATCAATCATGCATGCTCATTAACTCAGATAGTTTTGGTCAGCAGTTTTTAAGATGTGTTTTAATACATTTCCGTCTTGTTTTTTCATTCAAACCTTGCTATAATGCTTTATTTTACACTGTGTTTCCTGGGACTGTGAACATTATACATTTATACCAATACATTAAAATAAACGTATTAGTGTACTGATGTTATAGACAGGAGTAAATATGTAGTGAAAAGGAAAGATATTTAAGATTAAGTGAATCTTCCTGACCTTCTTAATTGTCAAGACACTGAATGCTCCACAGCTTGTGTTTTATGGTTGTTTTGTTTACCCACAGGCCCCAAGGTTTCCCAGAATGCTTCAGATGAGTCTCTGGTCCGGATGAGCGTTGACTCAAAGCGCCTCACCACATTTCTGCGCTCTGCTGCACAGGTGATTAAAGTTAGACTTATTTCTTCACTCAAAGTGCTTTTTTGGTTTTATCTGTGAAATTATGTGTTTCTATACGTGTCGCAGGTGGTGGCAGTGCTGTTGGAGGAGAACAGGGCTGAGAGCAAATCTGTGAAAAAGCTGCACTCTCAAACAGACTCGCTCTCTTTCAGCGATGGCTGCCTTCATCTAAACACCAAACTCCCATTTCTCCATGGTATCAGACACCTCACCAAACTGCTCTTTCCACTCAGTAACACACTCTTCGACACCAAAGTTCCTGTTCTGAATGTCGTCTCTGGGCGTGTGTCTAAATTAACTAAATTTCTGCTTATAGTTTTTTTTTTTTTTTGCAAAACTGTCGCTACCTTTTACCTCCAGGTGACCCCCCCCCCACTCCTCCCTTCTATTAAGTAATTGGTGGTATTAATGTCATGTTTATTTTGGATTTTGGCTTGTATAGTGACCATAGGTATGAGACAGTCACTATATAAAATTACTATTATTATTATTATTATTATTAAATAGTTACATGTATAAAAATAGTTACATGTATAAAACATATGGGACACTTTTTAAATGGTATACATTTTTGGGAGTAGGCATTACCCATACAAGAAATATAAATGCTATATAGGCACTTACATACTCCGACCAGCCACTTCATTAAGTCCACCTCCTTGTTTCTACACTCACTGTCCATTTTATTAGCTTCACTTATTATATAGGTGCACTTTGTAGTTCTACAATTACAGACTGTATATCATATTTGCACCATTTAGTGCTCCTATATGGTAAGTGGAGCTTATAAAATGGACAATGAGTGTGGACACAGGGAGGTGGACTTAATGAAGAGGCCTGTTGGTGTATAGGTTTAACACACATTGGACATTTTCTTGTTAAATTTAGGCACATATATATCTGCTGTCATTTTTCGGTTTTTGACATAATTTGAAAGTACCCGTGGTCCTATATATTGTGTGTACATTTCATGATGAATGGACCAACAGAAATGACCCAAAATTACTTGGAAAAAAGTCTGGTTCCATTGACTTACATTAAAAGTAAAGTAAGTTTTTTCCTTCTTGTGTAAAGTTACTATTTTGGAGATACGAGGTTTTGATCCGACAGAAGCGATAAAGTGTTATGTTTTACCTGTTTTGTCACTACTTTCTGAGGTTTGTGTGTGTGTGTGTGTGTGTGTGTGTGTGTGTGTGTGTGTGTGTGTGTGTGTGCAGGTCGGCAGGTGACGTTGCTGCATTTCTCTCAGGTGCAGACACACACCTTGCTCTCCATTCACGCCCCGTGCTCCGGATCGAATGGTGTGATGCTTGATAGTAAAACGTTAATCTGTGTGTGGAACATCTGGGAGCCCTCGGCACCCCAGAGCATTCTCTCCTACGAGGCTGAGGTAGACATAAGACTGCAGACAGCTGTTAGTAAGGGTGCATGATCAGAATCAGCGAGTGTTCCCTCCCAACACACAATTTATGTTTACTGTGGCTCATATGTGTAATGATTGTATGATGTAAATAATGTGAACCAGACGAGTACATGCACACTGCATTTGAGTGCTGTGTGTTAGACATCTGCTTATGTGGTCCATATCAGTACCATAAAGAGTACACTATGCTATTGTCATTACTGCTTGTTGCTAATAAAAATAAATAAATAAATAAGTAAAATTAATAAAAATGGGCCGAATTAGTCCTCAGAAATCTGATTTGACTTTACGCAGTTGGGGATTTTTGGTTTGCTTTATCTGGGCACTCCAGCACTCATGGATATATGAAGTTAAATTCCAGAATAGAATTAAAAATATGCCTGTCTACACTAAGTGAACTGCACTATATAAGAGCTGTTTTATATGTAGTCCAATTTAGAAGCACAAAATAACTAATAAATGTTGTTAATATATAGTTAAATATAAATATTTAAATGTAATATTTTTATATTTACACTTTTAATTGTTTGACACTGTATTTTAACTATCCTTTACCCACAGCACCAAACCCAGACAGTTGCAAACCAAATTTTGTTGTACTTTCATGATGGCAAAAAAAAGGAATAAATTAATTAATTCATGAATAAACATTCTGATCTTCAGGTGCGCTGCTGCTGTTTCAGTCCTGGTAAGGCCACGCTGGTGTTTGCTGGAACAGCTGTGGGTTCGGTCGTGCTGTGGGATCTTCGAGAGCATTCTGGCTCTCACACGTCCCTCAGAGTGGACGGGGAGGAGTGGACACTGCGCCACCCAACGTTCTCCACCGGTTAGTTTAACACAGGAGTTCACAACCACATCCGTTAGCTTCCCCAGCCAGCATACATTTATGATCCACCTCAACATGTGAGTTGTAATCAAGTTCATTCAGCTGATCTGCTGCAAAACAACTGCTGATCTACAAATGATGTCCTCTTCACATTTACACCCAGTGTTTAATGCAGTGGGTGGATGGGTGGATGGGTGGATGGGTGGATGGATGGATGGATGGATGGATGGATAGCCTAAATCATCACAACTCGCCTCAAACTGTGTGGAGTTGTTCAGTATCTCCTATAGTCCCGATTGTGTGGTTTCTGATACTGTATGACTCACTGTTACCTATAAACATGGACAACATGCTTTTGCCCATTTGCTGTTTGGTAGGGTTAAAGTTTCCTTTGCTTGTTAGCTAATTTAGCTTTGCAGCTCCAACTAAAGAAGAAAACCTCTGACACTAAAGATCTGATTTACCATGTTTGCAATAAGAGGGAAAACTGTGAAACTTGATTTTTGCTTTGCTATTGTATGTAAACATGACTTTTACCAGACAGCGCACAAACCTCAGCACTCACACCTGTGAATCTCCAGACTTGGTTTGATGTTGGAAGTGGGATTGTGTGTTTGTACAGATGCTGTGCTATCAGGAGCAGGACATTTCCGCTCTGTGGTGTCGGTCGAGCCCGTTCTGGTCAATGTGGAGCCGGGGATTAGGGGTCCACTGCTTGCGGACCAAGAAGGTAATACCAGCAACAAATGTTCTATTGATTCATTTTAACATTTTCACTTATTCACTTATATTAGTGATAATATTAATATATCAGATAAAATCCTTAAATCACTGAAAATAAAGTAACCAAACAAAAAAAACCCTCCAAAAAACAGCATAATTGTCATTTGTGTATTAATTTGAAAGTTGAAAACTTTGCATCAAAATTATGTGTAATTCTTTATATAATCAGTTCATTATTTGAGGAAACTTCCTCTCTCTTGTAACTCTCAGAGTCTTTAGGGCTCTCGTTCCAGTTGGGATCGCTGGATGAAAATGGCCTCTTGAATCTTTGGGTAAGTGATCATTTACTTTTTTAAATAGTGAACATTTTGTTTCTTTACGTTGCTGACTGATCTACTGCCTGCAAGTTGCTCTAGTAAGATAAATAAATGTTTTTGAACCAACGTCAATATAAAATGTAAATGTTTGTTATTGTAAATAATCGACTCGTATTTTCATCTTTGTTCTCATTTCTGTAGGTTGTAATTGAGTTGTCCAAAGCTGATGACTCTGGATCCCAGACAGACCTCGGTGAGTCATGTATCAGTGTGCTAACACTGCTGCCCCGTCCCTCAGTCCTAATGTTGATATTCCCACAAGCTGGACTTCTTGCTGTTGGTAGAGAGTCTGGTAGGTTTTGTGACTCAGTGTGAACAAAAGCCGCCTACGACAGTAAGCTGTTTGACTGGCATGCGGAATAACCAACCACAGGCTGTTGTTTTTGCATGACAGAAAGGGGCAGACAGTGGTCGAAAGGGTGCTGCAACAAAAACAGACTCACAAGAAACAAAAGTGGTGGTTCAAATGCTGTGTCAGTAACACCAAAGACAAAATGACAGACTTGTTTTAACGCAACGAATCTCTCTTGCTCGGAAGCTAATTGACTCTGGTGTGGTGCTGATGTGTTTGTCACTCAGTGGTCTGGTGAACCCACCACATTATTGTTTATTAAATCAATACAGCCATAACAATTTATGTAAAAATACCAGATGTTTAAAATATCACAAGTGTCCAGCGTAGGGTTCTCCTTTAGCAGCTGTAGCCAGTCAGCAGCCTGTCCATGTTGTCCACCCTCACACACACACACACACACACATATACAAACACATCACTGCACCACCTGGTCAACATGCCTGTATGGGTGGAGCTTCTGAGGGTATAACTCTGTAGAACCCCCTCACCTGTCATAACAAGGCTGTCCTCACCCTGGCAGGTCTGCACCCAGGTGGGAAAGTGAAGCTCCTCCACAGTTCCTCTATACAGACGTCAGAAAAGGCCACTCCTCGAGAGGCCACTGGGGTCACGCCTCCCCTGAGTCTCCTGCTGAAGTTCCTCCCCTCAGACTCCAACCACTACTTCATCGGCACCAGCATGGTGAGTGGAGTGTTTCGTAGAAAAGCAAGTAGACAATTCAGGTAGAACATGAATAGCAGTCGATTCGGCTCAGTGGTGTCTGAAAAGTGGGGGTCATGATGCACTTAAATGCAGCCAGGAAGTATCGACTGGTTCTGATTTTTCAAATGTATTTTTTACAAGTAGACATAACATGAATTTTAAAACTGAAGGCCAGCTTCAGTCAAGCATATAGAACTTTACTTCTCAGACATGCTCAGACCTCTAGGACATGCATTAAGACCTCTTAGACTGCCCCCATCACTGTGTGTCACTGGCAGACATTCCTCGTTTGCATTGCTTTAGAGGACACTCAGATGTTGTGAGGCAAGAAGAAAAATGCATTTAGTTTTGATATTTCCAATTTATGAAAATCTGATTACTGATCTGGGGGCAGTCGTGAGCTGGAGGTTAGGGAACCAGCTCTGTGACCGGAAGGTTGCCGGTTTGATCCCCTGAGCCGACAGTACGTGACTGAAGTGCCCTTGAGCAAAGCACCTTACCCCCAACTGCTCCCTGGGTGCTGTGGATAGGGCTGCCGACTCGCTCCGGGCAAGTGTGCTCACTGCCCCCTAGTGTGTGTTCGCTAGTATGTATGTGGGTGTTTCACTACACGGATGGGTTAAATGCAGAGGTGAAATGTGATTGTAGAATCATGTAAATGTAAAATGTAAATGTGTTTGCATTGCTGAAATAATTATGTAAATTTTTTTTTTGGTATTTGGCCGAATTAAACAAAGGTAAAGATGGGGGTTTTGTTTTTTTTGTTTGTTTGTTGACTGTAGGGTTTGGTCAGGCGAGGCACCAGGCACGGGCTGAGAGCCGTCCCAAAGCTCTACATGTCTGAGGACGGTGAGAGACCAGCAGAGGTCACTGCTTTGGACTTCTGCCCAACTGGAGAGCCCTTCTTTCTGGTGAGGACAAGCCAGTTATCCCAAATGTGGTCAATCAACGAGACATGTTCAAACTATGCTTCTTCAGTTTTTTACTGGCTAATGTAGCCAACACGTAATGAAGGCTTATAGCCACAGATTAGCATCATGTAAACGGCTTGTGAATGCCTTGCTTATGTGGTTTCTGACACTGATACCTACACAAATGGACAAATGTATGCTGTGTAGTTAAAAACAGTATCAGTCATCTTAAAGCCTGATTTTTCCCCCTAATTTAGGTTCATGTTCACAGATAAACATTTATATAGTGTCATTTCCGCATGCAGTTAACACGGCGCTAATTGGTGTGGTATAAACTTCGCTTATTTGTTAAGTCAAATTAGCTATGCAGTTCCAGTGCAGAACTAAAGAAGCAAACATGTCAAATATATGTGAAACTGGAAATTGTTATGGGACGGCAGGGAGGCGGACCCAAGTGTAGAGAGGAAAACCCCTGAGAAAGGGTCTTCAGTGAATTTATTGAGGCAAGGGAGTGTGAATTTGGTGATGTGCATGTTGGAGTTGACCCAGAGGGCCAGAGCCAGGCTCGAACCACTGATTGGTGGTCCGAGGAGTTACCGCTGCGAAATAAAAAGGCGGGAAAAGGCTGTTCTAGGAAAGTGAAATAAAAGATAATCAGAAAACAAAATTTACTTCCTCTGTGATCATGAGAGGAAGGCAGACTTTATGTTTCATCCGTTTACTCCTAGTGGAACAAACACTTTTTGTATGGCCTGGAGCCGTTTGTAGCTCAAGCCTTCTTTTGGTTTTAAGTAGTTTTGGGCAATTTTGCTCTCTTGTTTTTTCCAGCCCGCTTTTCTTTTCTTTCCTTTTCTTTTTGTTTAAATACCCACCTGGGCTACCGTACCAGTCACCCCCCTACAAAGGTGTGACAAAGGGCTGCTTTTTTGCCACAGCCTTAAGTAGAGGAGTTCACAGGTGTGTCAGGTTGGGCCTAATCAGCCCGAAGGCTCCTGGGAATTGGAGTTCTCTGAAGTTATGGCACCTCGCTGCCGTCGCCCTCCGTGTATTACTGTGTTTATACTATGCAATCTACTTTTCTCTCTAGTAATGTTCACAGTACTCTACATTTCTCTATAATTTCTCTAGAATCATAGTTTACAACAAATAGTTGAAGCTTATACTGCACAAATTAGCATCTACAAGCTGAACTTTAACTTCCTCTGCCGACTGTGGAAGAGCACAGCTCATATTCTGGTCATGGAGACTGTGCAATGTGTGTGAATATGAACTGTATGTGTGTTGCAGGTGGGCTGCAGTGACGGGTCGCTCCGGCTCCACTCAGTTCTGCATGAGGACCCGGTGTTGGAGTGGTCCACGAGTTCTGGAGATGTTCCGGTTCTGTCTGTGCAGTGGTCCAAAACCCGGCCCTCTGTCTTCTGTGTTCTGGACGCTGCTTCTGTCCTGCACATCTGGGACCTCACAGAGAAAGATTCCTCTCCAGTCATGACAGAGAGCTTTACCACTGACCGGTAAGAGAGCAGAAGAACCAGACGCTCTCTCCTAAGCCACCATGTGACAGCGGATACCTTTACTTTAAGACCTGCTATACTTTACGTCCATGTCTATGTTTTTGCTACGTTCACATTAAATGGTTAAAGAGGCCCAAATCAGATTTTTTGTCTAAATGTGATCTGGTTTCTTTGGAGCTGTGTGAACACAAATCTGAGTCTTTAAAATCGGTTTCCAATCAAGGCCACTTTCTGAGCTACTAGATCAGACACATATCCCATATGTGATCATAATAAGAACAGTTAGATTGTGTTGCCCTCCCCACCCCACTTTTATTAGAGGGGGGCGAAAACCTCAACTTTTTATTACAATGAAACTTTGACTTGAGTTTACAAAGTTATAGTTTTCATTTTATCAGCCTCCCATAAATCAAGATCGATTTCTGCCAGGCAGAGAAGCAGAAAATCACCTGTTTCTCTCTCTCTCTCTCTCTCTCTCTCTCTCTCTCTCTCTCTTTCTCTCTGGCAGCAGTATGTAGACGTATTATTATGTTGGAGGTTTGACTTTTTGTCTCTAAACAGTGACTTACACTGATTATATCAGAATGATGTCTAATTTTCTCGAGGTTCTGTTTGACTATGTTAGAAAATCAGCTAATTTTCTCCACATTTTGACTGATTACAGACTTATTTTCTTGGGATTATAACCGATGAGATTAGAATAATGCCTTATGTTCTTGAAATTTTGATGGATTATGTCTAAATGGATTAATTTCTCAAGGTTATAACTGATTATATCTAAATATTGGATTATCTTCTCAAGAATTTTTTTTTTATTATTTAGATTATGTCTAAGTAATGGGTTTATTGTCTCAAGATTGTAACTAATAATTTCAAAATTATTATTCAAAAAATCAGTCAAATTAAGTTTGACCAATTATGTCAAATTACTGGTTTATTTTCTCTGGATTTTGACTTATTATATCAAAAGAAAGATTTTTTTTTTGAGATTTTGACCAATTATGTCAAAATTCACATTTTTTGTCCTCCAGTGTGATGGCCATGGCGGTGTTCGGTGAGGCTGCCAGGCAGAACCGTTACTCTGGTGTGGCTCTGGCCAAGCAGTCCGGCAGGCTGGAGATCCACTTCCTGAAGCAATCTCTCACAGTTCCTCAGCCCTCAGACAGGGAGAAGCTCCACCTGCTGGCACAGGACAACCTCTGAGAGCCGGAGGAGAGAAACTACAGCACATACGGTCCTGGAGGACTGTTCAGCACACCTGCTCAAACACCTGCTCTGACACTGCTGGTCATTAACTGCCCAATCAGGTGTGTTTGAGCAGGAAAATCACCAAACTGTGCTGGACTGGAACTGATGGCTGTTGCACTATATTGTCCGGCAACAGTGAAATTAAGAACAACCTTTTTTGTCCAGCCAGATGTGTTAGATATGTAAGTGTGGCTGCAGTGATATAGAGGGGCCAATATTAGTTTCATTAATATACAGTCGTATGCGAAAGTTTGAACACCCCTGGTCAGATGACATGTTTTGTTGATTTTCTAAGTTCACACGTCTTCTGTAGAAACATCACATTTGAATACACAGTCACTGAATTTAACATACTTGGCATGAAATTAAAAACAAAAAATGTGGCGTGTGCAAAAGTTATGACACACTGATATTTTATGGTGTGTTTGCAATTTATCAAAGTAAAAGCACTAAAATTTGCGGAAAAAGACCATATTTAAGTGTGTTCTCTGTAGAGGGTGCGCTAACTTGTTCTCACTTTTAAAAAATTACAGAATGTGTCATTTGACCAGCAGTGTTTACATTTTTGCATGCGACTGTACCTACAACACATTTGACTGGAGTGATCATGTACCTGAGCTCTGACAGGACCACCTGCATGGAACGTACACCGAACAGGCATAACATTCTGACCACCTCCTTGTTTCTACACTCATTGTCTATTTTATCAGCTCCACTTACTATATAGGTGCACTTTGTAGTTCTACAGTTACAGACTGTAGTCCATCTGTTTCTCTGATACTTTGTTAGCCCCCTTTTACCCTGTTCTTCAGTGGTCAGGACCCCAATGGACCCTCACAGAGCAGGTGGTGGATCATTCTCAGCACTGCAGTAACACTGACGTGGTGGTGGTGTGTTAGTGTGTGTTGTGCTGGTACGAGTGGATCAGACACAGTAGTGCTGCTGGAGTTTTAAACACTGTGTCCACTCACTGTCCACTCTATTAGACACTCCTACCTTGTCAGTCCACCTCGTAGATGTAAAGTCAGAGACGATAGCTCATCTGCTGCTGCACAGTTTGTGTTGGTCATCCTCTAGTCCTTCATCAGTGGTCACAGGACGCTGCCCACAGGACGCTGTTGGCTGGATATGTTTGGTTGGTGGACAATTCTCAGTCCAGCAGTGACACTGAGGTGTTTAAAAACTCCAGCAGCACTGCTGTGTCTGATCCACTCAGACCAGCGCAACACACACTAACACACCACCACCACGTCAGTGTTACTGCAGTGCTGAGAATGACCCACCACCCAAATAGTACCTGCTCTGTGAGGGTCCATGGGGGTCCTGACCACTGAAGAACAGGGTAAAAGGGGGCTAACAAAGTATGCAGAGAAACAGATGGACTACAGTCTGTAACTGTAGAACTACAAAGTGCACCTATACAGTAAGTGGAGCTGATAAAATGGACAATGAGTGCAGAAACAAGGAGGTGGTCAGAATGTTATGCCTGATCGATGTAAATCTCAGTACTCTGGTCTGCGTCCCTTTTTCAGCAGAGCTTCATATCTAAACCCTGTATAAACAAAAACAATCCAAAAAATAAATCTGAGTAATTTAAGTGTCTATCAGAGGATTTTAAGCTCATTTCTGAGGTGGTTAAAGACTGTTTGATTGGCTGTGTTGTTGTAACAGTAGCAGAGTCTAAGATGAGGCTGTTTTTGCACTCTGTATGGAGTTCAGAAGATCTCCTGAGGGTTCTTCACTACCAGGTGTGGAACCCACTGCATGTTTTTCCTGCTGCAGGACATTTTGATTCAGGATTTGGTAATAATCTGATGAGTTAAATGTGCTGTGTTACAGTAAAAATCTAAACTGTGCCGTGCAGGAGAGCTGCAGGACTGGGAGGGAAGGACGCCGCACTGTGACCTGAGATACATTTAACCAAAAAAAGAACAGAGAGGAACGTTAAATGAAGGTGACCATAGGTAGATCAGACTGCAGAGGTTCAGACGGGATCGGAGGTTCATGCAGCTCAGGGATATGATGAGAATCTGTATTTAACTCTATAAAACAGTCTCTGATCTTGAACCTGTACAGAAGATCTGTTCATTTATACTGGGATGAGTGTTTTTGTTAAAGGTCCATGTTATTGGTTAATCTGAAATGTATCACTATTTTTGTATTAAAGACAGTTACTTTATAACACGCTGTACTTTGAGCTTTTTATTTATTTGATAAACATTTCAAAAGATTGAGGAACTAATGTTGCATTTTTAGCAAAATAGCATTGTATCAAGATTGTATCATCTCTTCCATCTGTCTTTGTTAGATAGATAGATAGATAGATAGATAGATAGATAGATAGATAGATTCATAGATAGATAGATAGATAGATAGATAGATTCATAGATAGATAGATAGACAGATTCATAGATAGATAGAGATGAACAGGCAGATAGACAGATATATAGATGGCGATGGACAGACCGAAAGACAAACGGATGGACAGATAGATTCATAGATAGATAGAGATGGACAGACAGATTGACATACAGATGGATGAACAGACAGATAGATACATGGATAGATAGATAGATTAATAGACAGAAAGGGATAGATGGACATATCATCAAATAGATAGATAGATAGACATACAGATGGATGAACAGACTGATAGATACACGGATAGGTAGATAGATTAATAGATGGATGGACAGATAGACAGATTCATTGATGGACAGAGAGATGGATGCACAGACAGACAGATAGAGAGACGGATGGACAGATAGACGGACAGACAGACAGATAGATAGACAGATGGACATATGGATAGATAGATAGATAGATAGATAGATAGATAGATAGATAGATAGATAGATAGATAGATAGATAAACATATGGACATATAGATAGATAGATAGATAGATAAACATATGGACATATGGATAGATAGATAGATAGATAGATAGATAGATAGATAGATAGATAGATTGACACATGGACATATAGATAGATAGACAGACAGACAGACAGACAGACAGATAGATAGATAGATAGATAGTTTTATGTTATAACAGTACAGTGTGTAATAACTGTGTAATTCCATATCTACCTGTAGTTATAACTGTATGTATCTGATCAGCGGTGTTATTGCTGTATTATTTACTCTGATCAGTTTTCAGTCTTAAAGCGTGTTAAAGCCTGAACAGTGAACGAGACCTTGACTGGTTCAGACGCCGTATCCTAGCAACGCCGAGTTTTAGGGTCTTATCCCAGCCCAGTCTCGGGCCGTATCTTAGTAACCGTAAGTCTCTCTCAGGTTCTCGGTGAGGTTTATATGAAGGCCTGCCTGTCCGGTGAGTGGGCGGGGGGTCAGTCTGCTGCCATGGCGGCGGTGTGCAGTGTTTACAGCGGAGCGGCTCTGAGCCTCGTCAGCGCTGATCCACTCCGCGCTCCCCGGCTTCACTGAGCACTCAGCCGCTCACAGGAGCTCCGGTGAATCTGCAGCGGAGTGTTTATGCGAAAAGAAGGTTAAAGTGTCCTGAAAGAAAACGAGCGGCGCTATTGTGGGTTCTTTGGACGGATAACCGAACTCAGACTGCTGGACTCGGATGGCCGGTGGAGAAACAGTCTGCAGAAGGTCAGGGTGGCCTGCAGGGGGCGCTATGGACCCGGCCGCCCGGCAGAGAGGCGGGAGAGCCCGTCAGATGTGGAAAAGCCTGATCACAGACATCAGACAGAGGGAGAAGGTGAGAGTTTAAAAGGGAAATCTGTGATTTATTCAGTAAAAACAATAAATATGAAATCATATTTGAAAGTTTCTGAGTGATGCTGAATGAAGTGTCTCTATCTAGTGGAGTAGAGTAACTCCAGTAATCTGCACTTAAAAACGTTCACAGGTAATATAACCATAACTGTGCTGGGAAAAACTGCTTGACTAGCTGAAGCTGATGAAACTTGGTAGACCAGCTCGGGATAAGCTTTTGGCTGAGTTTGATGGTTGAGCTGGTCGACCAACATGACTAGCATGACCAAGCTGATTGACCATCATGATCGAGGTAGTTGACCAGATTGGTCATGTTGGTCATGTTGGCAGAGCAGCTAAGCCATCAAACTCAAACGAAAACATACCCTACACCCTTAAAGAAGATGGTTCTTCAAGGGTTCTTTAGTAAAGGCAGTGGTTCTGTTTAGTTATTAGAAAAAATTGGTTCTATACAGAACCATTTGCAATTGTTCTTTGTGTGGTGAAATGGTTCTTCAGATTCAAGATACAAGTTAGGTGTTTCTAATAAAATGGCCAGTGAGTGGAAGCACAAGGTAGGTGTTTCTAATAAAGTGGCCAGTGAGTAGAAGCACAGGGTAGGTGTTTCTAATAAAGTGGCCAGTTAGTGGAAGCACAAGGTATGTGTTTCTAATAAAGTGGCCAGTGAGTGGAAGCACAAGGTAGGTGTTTCTAATAAAGTGGCCAGTTAGCGGAAGCACAATGTAGGTGTTTCTAATAAAGTGGCCAGTTAGTGGAAACACAATGTAGGTGTTTCTAATAAAGTGGCCAGTAAGTGGAAGCACAGGGTAGGTGTTTCTAATAAAGTGGCCAGTTAGTGGAAGCACAATGTAGGTGTTTCTATTAAAGTGGCCAGTGAGTGGAAGCACAATGTAGGTGTTTCTAATAAAGTGGCCAGTTAGTGGAAGCACAATGTAGGTGTTTCTAATAAAGTGGCCAGTTAGTGGAAGCACAGGGTAGGTGTTTCTAATAAAGTGGCCAGTTAGTGGAAGCACAATGTAGGTGTTTCTAATAAAGTGGCCAGTTAGTGGAAGCACAATGTAGGTGTTTCTAATAAAGTGGCCAGTGAGTGGAAGCACAAGGTATGTGTTTCTAATAAAGTGGCCACTGATTGGATCTTGTTGAGCTTCCTTCCCCACAAGTCTCTGAGTCTCTGTTTATCTGTTTTTTTGTTCATCTCTTTCTTACTGTCTTTTTCTATGTAAATCCTCCTCAGCTGCGTCGCTCTGACCTCAGCATCAGCCTGCTGACCCACGGAGTCCAGCACGTCCACCATGTCCCCTGTGATGATGCTGTGAGGTTCATGAGCTGCAGTGACAGAGCGAGGGGCTTTCTGAGTGTCCACCACAGCGGACATGTGAGGTTCTACCATCCAGACGGCCGTCTGAGAGATTCAGCCCCCCACTCGTCCCTCAACGTGACCTATGAGGGCCTCACGCACACACAGCTGCCAGACAGGCTGGTGGGCTGGGGGTCTGGGCCCACCCTCACACTGCTTGACTCTCAGTTAACACCACTGATGCACGCAGTGGACCCCCTCGACATCAGGGTCTGCCAGGTACGGTTTACTGGAGCTGCGATCAGACTCGCTGTCACAGACGCAGTGTGTGCTGTATAGTGTGTCTGTTCAAATTCTCAATCAAACAATCAATCAGTTTCTCAGTCAGTCAGTCAATCAGGTGCTCAATCAATCAGTCGCTCAATCAAACAACCAATCAATAAATCAATCAATCAGTTGCTCAGTCAATCAGTTGCTCAATCAGTCGCTCAATCAATCAACCAATCAATCAGTGACTCAATCAACATCAATAAATCAATCAGTCAATCAGTTGCTTAGTCAGTCAGTCAATCAGTTGCTCAATCAACTAACCAATCAATAAATCAATCAGTTGCTCAATCAATCATTTGTT